AAACCAATGGGGGTCACTCTGAGTTGGAATCAACTTGATGGCAGTGGGTTCGGTTTGGTTTTGGGAATGACTAATGAGTGGTTCGGTGATAGAATTCTTGTGTTCCATGTGGGAGACCCAGGTTTGATTCCCGATCAAAGTTGTCTCGTATGCAGCCACCACCATCTGTCATTGGAGGCTTGCATGTTGCTATGATGCTGAACAGGTTTCAGCAAAGCTTCCAGACTAAGAAGGACTAGCAATCTCCTTACGAATAATCAGCCAGTGGAAGCCCTATGGATCACAATAGTCTGATCCACAACCAATCATGGGGATGGCACAAGACTAGGCAGTGTTTTGGTCTATGCACAGGGTCATGACAGGTTGGGGAACTGACTGTGGCAGCTAACAAGGACTAATGATGTTGAATATCTTTTCATGTGCTTTTTGGCCATTTTTATATTTTCTTTGGAGAAATGTCTATTCAGATCTTTTGCATATATATTCTGATTTCAAATCCCATCTTCACCATTTATTATCTTTTTGACTTTGGCAATGCTGCTTAATTTTATTATTACGATTTTAAAAATTTTATTTTTGGTGAAAATATGCACAGCAAAACACTCCTATTCCACAGTTTCTAGACATGATGATCAATGACATTGCTTTCATTCTTCACATTGTGTCAGCATTCTTATTATATCTATTCTAGTTTTTGACTTCAATTTACTTAATCTGCCTATCCCCCAGCTTTCTCATCTATGCTTTAAAAAAGATGTTAACTCTTATACAGATATATCTACATATCTCTATATAAATACACACATACACACGTAAGTAGCATATTACTCAAGGGTGACAATCTTTGGACTAAATTGTTACTTAAATATGACTTCAGAGGAAAATTTCAATTCAAAGTTAGTAGAGCAACTCAGGGCCATATTCATGAAGACTCCTCCAGACTCAGTAGGTCCAGTAAGTCTGGATTCTTTAAGTATTTGAAGTTCTGTTCCACACTTTTATCTCTTTTTATCAGGATTTCTCTATTATGTTCCTGATCAGAGCATTCAATAGTTGTAGCTGGGCACCATATGGTTCTTCTGGTCTCAAGGTGAAGGAGACAGAGGTTCTTGTAGATAATTAGTGGTGGTGTCCAGTTCCTTCTCTGGTTCTTGAATTGCCTTCTTTCTCTTTTGTTCCAGATGAATAAAGAACAATAGTTTTATCTTAGATGGCTGCTCATAAGTTGTTAAGATCTCAGACAGTATTCACCATAGTGGGAAGTAGAACATAAACTTTAAGAGCTATGTTATGCCAATTGACTGTTCCCTGAGACTGCAGCCCTAAGCTGCTAAACCAGGAGAACTAATCCCATGAGGTGATTGGTTTTGTCTAATTAGTAATAGCATATGTAGCACGACCCGCCCCCCCCATTTGATTGTTGTTATTGTCATAAAATTCTTTGCCATTAAAATTTTTTTAATGCATTTTATTGAAATACAATTTATGTATAGTGAAATACACAAAACTAAAGTGATATGGGACAATACTTTTTTTTTTTTTTTTGCAGTGTTCCCTCCCCAACCCTCCCACCCCTGGCAACCAGCAAAGAAGGTTTCCCTCCATGTATAAACCTTTCCTTGACCCTCCACAACCATGAATTAATACTATATTTGTCCTTCTGTGATTGACTTACTTCACTCAGCATAATGTCCTCCAAGTTCATCCATATTAATGTGATGTTTTGCAGACTGTACATTATTCTTTAGTACTGCATAGCATTCCATTATGTGTATGTACCATAGTTTGGTCATCCACTCTTCTGCTGTAAATCTTAGAGATAAGCCCCTTGCCAGATATGCAATTCTCGGCAAATATGAATTTGTTGCTGTCTTTTTTGTTATGTGCTTTTTCGTGGTATCGATTTCTTTGTTCCATATAATTTTCTATGTTGAGCTTGTTTTGTTTATGAATTGTGTTATCACTTCCTTCATTGCTATTGATTTAGTACTTGCTGACTATTTTTGCTGGTCCTCTTTTTTTTATGTGAAGGTTTATAATTTTTCCTTGAGGTTACCCTGTGATTTATAGATTTCTTCCCAAGTGTAGAACAGTCCGTTCTATCTTGTAGTTGTCTTGACTTCCCTACCATCTAGAAGTTCTGTAATGACACAGTTTTTTGGTTTGTAATTGTCCTCATTTGTCAATTGATATCTTTGGTTCCATGTTTACAATCTTGTAGACTTATTTACTTTGGATACTTCCATAGCTGGGTTGATTCCTGGGTTATATCATCATGTGTGTTAATGGTCAGTTGCTGTTGACTATTGTTGCTTCTCTGTCCAAAGGGTTCCCTTTAGCATCTCTTGTAAGGTTGGTCTGGTTTTAACAGATTTCCTTAGTTTCTGCTTATCTGGAAATACCCTAATTTCACCATCATATTTGAGGAACAGTTGTGCTGGGTACATAATTCTTGGTTGGAAATTTTACTCCTTCAGTGTTTTATATATACCATCCCATTTTCTTCTCGCCTGCATGGTTTCTCTTGAGAAATCCGACCTTAGTCTTATTGGTTGCCCCCTGTAGGTAACTTTTCATTTTTCTTGTACTGCTCTCATGATTCTATATTTGTCTTTGGTTTTGGTAAGTTTAATGATGATATTATATGTCGTGGTGATTTTCTTTTGGGGTCTATCCTGTTTGGAGTTTGTTGGACTCCCTGAGTGGATATATTTTCATCTTTCATCATACCTGGAAAATTCTCTTGCAATAAATCTTGGACAATTTTCTCTGTGGTTTTATTTGTGTCTTCCTGTTCTGGAATTCTGATTACATGTAGGTTATTCCTTTTGATGGTATCCCACATGAACCTTAGGCTTTCTTCATTTTGTTTTGATCTTTTTACTAATTGATCCCTTTCCAAAGAAGTGTTCAGGTATTTGCCTTCAGTTTCCCTAATTCTGTCTTCCATTGATTCAGTTCTGCTCCTTTGCCCATTCAATGTCTTATCTGTTTCTGAAAATTTAGTGTTAATCTTCTGGATTTCTGTGTTTAGATTTTGTATCATTTCCAATTTGTCATTTATTTTGTCATTTTGTTCTTGTATTGTCTTTTGAAATTGTTGTAGGGTTTTGTCTGTGTTTTCTTTGATCTGTCTCTCAATTCGTTGAAGATACTTAAATATAATTCTTTTGAATTCCTTATCAGTGAGTTCCAATCCTGCGTCTTCCTCAGGGATGTGTTTTGGGTCTGTATCCTGGTCTCTTGTTTCTCCTGCTTTATCTTGCTTCTTTGTGTGGACTGTGATGCTCTGAGGCATTGTGACGTTTTTGTGTTTATATTTAATTGGTGATTGTATGTTGGAGTGACTTGCCCACGATTTTCATCTTCTTTGTTTTGTTTGTATGTTATCTGTGCAAGCAGCGTACTGTGCTATGCTCCTCTGTTTGCTAGTGAGTAACACTTATACACTCAGCACCGTCTCCTTTGCTTTTGTCAGACTCTCATATGTCCCTGTCACCCTTGGCAAACAGAGCCTATTGCTAGGTCCCTGGAATCTGAACAAGGAGGCTATCACTTTAAAATCCAAAATGGTTGCCACTTGTAAAGATTCAAAATGGGCTGTGCTCTTGGTCACTTTAAATATGCAAAATGGCCACTGCTTGTAAACATTCTAAATGGCTGCACCCTTGGTCATTTTAAATATCCAAAATGGTGGCTGCATGTAAACAATCAAAATGGCTGCGGCCTTTGGACAGTGGAAAGTCAATAGCTCAGGTTGTCTCCCATCTTGCTGTTTCCTTTCCTAGTCATAGGCCACCAGTGCAGTCGTTCCTGCAGCCCTTGGTGACCAGGGCTGATCTTGTGTAGGTCAGTTCTCAGGTCCCAGCACCACTTGGAGCTATTCAAGCTGTTGGTCCCATTGGAGTAGCTGACAGTCTGCAGTTCCGATCGTCACTGTACTCACTGTTTTCATTCAGGTTTTTCCACTAGTTGGTGCCTAATCCACTTCTGTATAGTTCCTTTCAAAGCTCAGAGCTCCAGGATTATCTTCTATATCTCTGTCAATTGGTTTTTCTTTTCTTTGTTGAAGCGGATGTGTGTCGCTTGTCTGCCTATTCCTCCATCTTACCAGAAGTCCTTTTTAAAATTTTTTAAAAAATCTTTTTACTGTTCAGTTGTAAGAGTCAGTTTTTCGTTTTTGCTTTCTCAAGAATAGCTTCGACTATTGGGAGCTCTGGTAGGTTAGTGCATAAGGCACTTGACTGCTAGCCAGAAGGCTGGCAGTTCAAACCCACCACCCACTCCTTGGAAGGAAGGTTGGGAAGTCTATTTCCATAGTGATACCACCTCGGAAACCCAAGTAGGGGTCGTCATGAGTCGGGTCTGATTGGACGGCACGTAACAACAACAACATTGTGCAGCTTGGGCTAGTGACATGGATCTATCTTTAAAAACTCACCTGAACCCTACCTGCTAAAGTCTGGTGTTAGTTGTATAAACAGTGATTTCCGTGTCTAATTTATAAAGGGATTTCTTTATTTTCCATAAAAGTTCTTTTCAGAAGATGTCATTTGATAGAGTATTATCACTTTGTCATCAGCAAATTAATGATAGACTGTTAAAGTATCTCTAGCTTGTACTATTACTGGTACTCACTGGACATGTTTATGCAGAATCTGGACAACTGTTTATTGGCATATTAGAGAAGAAATTCATGTAATACAAAGGAAGTTGGATAAGATGCCCTTCAGGTTTCTTCCAGCTCCCAGTTTCTATTTTTACTGTGTGTAGAGAAGAAATTTGTCCTAGTGAAATGGTTTGAAAAGTATTACATCGTGTTTTCATTATCTTTGTATAAAGAGTTTAATTCTAAAGATAATGTAGTTTTATACTTTGAAAACAGACTAAAGTATTGCTGTACTTGATGTCTATTTTTTAAACAATTTTTTTTACCCTGTTGCACTTGAAATAGTTTGCTTTCTTTCAGTTGAAAAGAATGTCTTTTTTTCTTTTTACAGATTAGCAAGACATCTACAAAAAGAGGCCCAAGCTCAGCACAATAATTCTGAATTCACAGAAGAACAAAAGGTACCACAAAATAATCTCTTGATATATCAGGTCCCAAATGAAAAGAGTTCTGTCTTTTGAGTCCGTTAAGCAAAAAACAAACAAAAACTTGTTACACTTTTAGTTGAAAAGAATGATAATGGTTATGCTTTGCCTGAGTTGAGTTTTCATCATTAAGTGATCATTTAGAGGTGCCATATGATCTATCACTTAATGAGTTTCTTTATTCAGTTCACTTGAGCACAAGCCATCCAGGCTTTGTTTAACCTTACTGGAGGCCATCCATACTTTGGTTGGGGTGAGTATGAGGGGTGGCCCAGAGACTGGAATTTGTCTGGAGTCACTTGGAGAAAGATAGAAGGGTTGTAAGTAATTGTATCCCACCTCAACACTTGTTTAACTGTGAACTTTCTAAACTCCTTCTCCCTTCTTCTCAATAATACAAACCAAAATCAAACAAACCAACCAAAAAAACCCATGACTGTGGAAAAAAACTAGTTCAAGTCAAGAATTTGGCATAAGAATCCATCAGCAAAATGAGTGCATAAGGTTGCAGAATGTTCCAGTGATGCTCTTTCTCCTTGAATTAAAATATTTGTGTGTCAAGTTGATTCCCTGAACTATTAGAGATTATGAAAAATTAGATACTTTTAAAAAGCTTTACTCTAAAGGAGTGGGAAGAAATGGGAGGAAACAACTCCCATTTTTCCTAGCTCAAACTGTCTAGTATTAAGTCAATTTTTAATCTTGTAGATAAAGCAAAAAATTGTGTCAGTCTTTCCCTTACATATCCATGTGGTAAAATTAATCTCTTAAGACAATGTGAAAATTATGATGACCTAAATTGCTTTTTTTATTATTTTTTATTATTTTGCATAAAGGTAAAATTAATCTCTTAAGACAATGTGAAAATTATGATGACCTAAATTGCTTTTTTTATTATTTTTTATTATTTTGCATAAAGGGTGGTGAGTGGTAGGAGTAACTTTTTATACATAATTTAAGTACATCTAAACACAGTTTTTATTCCATCATAGGAGTTTGGGGGAGGGGAGGAAGAAAGAGCCGATGAAAAGGGTTAGCCATACTTCTTGCTCAAGTTAGTATATTTGTATTTTTTAAGTATTTAAATTAAAAAGAAAAACAAAAAAAACAACTCCAAAGCCAAAAAACATGTTGCTGTGTTCAAAAAGAGTATTCTAATTTTTTCCTTTAATAATTGCTATTTTCCACAATAACAGCATGATCTATTATTTACACTTTCCTGAACTTAGTTGGTCTTTTTGTTTCTTGTTTGTTTTTGGTATTGGCGTGTATTGAATACTTTGATTAGACTTTGCTATTTATCTGAAACGGCTTCTTTTGTAGGAGACATGCTGTAATCCTTTGCACACTGAGAGATCTCACGTTAGCCTTTCTGGAAATCTTGATTCCAGATCCAGAAACTTATGTAGAATACAGGATATGGTGACCTTTTGTTAAAACAGCTCCCTAGATTTAGGAGACTTGGGAATTTTGTCTGGAAAATAATGGCCACAGGAAATGATTGATTTGTTTAAGGGAAGGAACAAAAGACTATGCTTTACTACCTCTCTAAGATTTGTCATCATCTAGGAATTAACTAACAAGAGTTCAAATACCTAAATTTTGATGATCAGCATCTCAAATGTCTGAGTGTATAAATTGAGAGCTAATAGTATGTTAGGAATATAGAACAAAATGAAATTTATGGAATTAAAAATTTTTAAGGAATCCATACTTTACCTTTTTACCTTGAGTTGCTTACATGCATTATAGATGTTGGAACATCTATTGGTTAGCTATAGAACCCATGAGCAACATGACCTTAAATATAAAGTGACCTGATCTTCCAAAACAAACTAAAATTACCAAAAACAAATAAACAAGCAAACAAAAAACCACAGGGAAATGAGCCTTGTCTAATGATGATAATTCTACCAATGGGGGAGCGGTTAACTTTTTCTTTAAACTTTCTAAGGCTGAAACTTGTGTTCAACAAAGCCATCCCATAATGTATAGCTGCTCTTTAGCAGCCACGTGGCTGCCTGTGTTTTTGCAGTTTATCTTTGGTTACAAAGGCCCCCCTAGATCTTATACTGCTAAAGGACCAAGGAGGGAAGCCTCTGAAATCTGGAGACAAGAACACTTAGTCTTGAATACTGACTCTGTCTCTGGGCCTCAATTTCCTTATATATGAAATGAAGGATTAGATAACACTAATGATCTTAAAAGGTATCCCCCAATCTTCTACTCTCTACCTTTGAAGCATTCTTCACCTCCTCCTTTCCTGGAGGCCTGTTTTCTGAGGTATTTATTATTTGTAATAGCTGCCTAGGAGGCATTTGTGGCTGCCAGTTGTGACTTCAGAGAGAGCCTGTGCGTGCCTGCCTATTCGTTGGGCTTGGAGAAGAACTCCCAAATCACTCTGTACTACATTATGAATATAAGGCAAGTTATATGCATTTAAAAATTTAATTTTCTTTAAAAATACAAGAAAAACATTCACAGTGGGCCAAAAAAAACTCATCAAAATGTTAGGCCTTATGTGAATGTCACATAAGGAAAAAGTTATCAAAGACTCCTAGTTGATAAATGATTAGAAAACAAGGATTTTCCAGATGTGTTCTGGGGAACATTGGTTCTGAAACTTAGTGGATGTTATTTAAACAGGGAGAGTTTGTGATTTCTCAGGACTTTTAATGTGCTAATATGTATGTTTAGTTTTTTTAGTTGGTATGTAGTGTTTATTTGTCTTTGGACATTCCCCCTTCGCCTTTTAGAACATTTTATTGGGTCTAGTGTTCTGAAGAACCTATTATGGGAAATTCTGATACAGACTGTTGAGTCTGCAAAATTAATCGAAAGCCAGACTTGACACAGAAGCCAATGAGAGGAAACTTGATTGTAGTTTCCGCAAAAGAGGAAAATGGAGAACATTACCTATGCTAAGCAAAATTGTTGTTTATAGTTTTTATTTTCAATTATATTTAATATTTTAAATGTTTTTGTGATAGTGCCAAATTTTAGAATCATGACAGCCATACTGTTGTTCATGGAATATTTTAAAAAAATTAAACCTTGATGTTTCTAAAGAGTTTTCTTTATGATGTACTTCACTGTCTAGCTCACAGTGGGCTCTGAAAAATATTTGATGAGTAAATGCTTTATTAGATCTTCGATTATTGATATTTATTTGCATACCATTATTTTAAGAGGGAGCTCTGGTGACGTAGTGGGTAAGGCATTTGACTGCTAACCAGAAGGCTGCCGGTTCAAACCCACCAGTCACTCCTGGGAAGGAAGGTTGGGCAATATACTTCCGTAGTGATACTGCCTGGGAAACCCAAGGAAGGGTCGCGAAGGGTCTCTATGAGTCAGATCGACTCAACGGTAATGAGTTTGGTTTTTGGGTTTATTATTTTAAGATAAATAAATCCTGATCTTTGAGAGGTAGCTTCTATGCATCTTCACAATATTTATTTTAAATTTAACTCTGTAACAGAATTATTGATTCCTCTAACCCTTATTAATTGGTGATAAATAGTATAAAAACTTCTTGTGGACTGTATGCATAATAGTCTCAAAGAATTCTGGTGTAAAATAAGAAAGTTTATAATTCTTACTTGATCCTCCCTCAGGACTAGTTGACTTGGTCTCAGTAGTTTTGTCATTGTAACAACTGAGTTAGATAGGACTTTACAGCAGTGGGTTTGATTTTAGTAGCCAAAGCATAGCTGCCAAAAGCTTTCATTCCACTGTACTCCCTGCTTTGGTTAGTAGATTTTCTCATGTACGTTTCTGGACAGAACAGAATGCCCTGTCTCATGATGCTTAGAAAGTTTTTCTCGGTTTTGAATCAAATTTGGTGGTAATGAGAATTCCAGCACTACATACTTGTTTTATATTTTATAGATTTCTTCCTTTCCACTCCCTCCTCACTTCCCTTCCTCCCTCGTCTCAGTTAGGCAGTGGGTGATTGGCTGTTTAAATCTGAAAAACTAAGTGTGGATTAAGTGAGACGATACTGATTTAATTATGTGTATTTTTTCAAACCTATTCTCCTTAGATAAATTGAATACATTTTAGAAAGTTAATTTAGCATTTTAATTGTCCATTTTTATTCCATCTTTTCTTTCACCACTCTTTTTGAGTTGTCAGTTTTCTTAGCAATAATGCAGTGAAATAATTAATGTTCTGAAAATGAACACATTTTCCACTTTTGTATCATACTGGGTATAAGCAAGTAATTTGAATCATTTAAATCTTTCTAAGATTAAACTTCACTTACCTTCAGTGTTTATCTAACTGTACATTAGTTAATAGTCAAGAGTTGGTGCACATGACCTTCTGCTGCTTAAATACTTTTTCTAAGAAAGGTAGAGTTTAATTACAGTAGCAAGCACTTGGTACATCAGTATTAAAAAATTAAATACTACATGTTTTAAAATTTATTTCTACAGATGAAAATGACAGTATTTTGGTCCTTTTTTAATACTGAGGTTGGGTGTGGTCCCTTAAAATAGTTATGAATAATGCCTATTGGTATTTTGCCGTACTTCAATAGATTCTGGATAAAAAGTTGTTGCTTTTGCTTAACTTGAAATGTTTAAATTTAAAATAGTTTAATAGTAGACTCATAGTTATAAAACTAGCATTTTACCTTACATGTTGAAGGCATCTAATCAAATGGATTTTATGGTAAAAAGGAAAAAGGAGTTAACTAATATGATGTTTAAAGACATATTCATTGATACACCTCACTTAATACAGATAAAATCCTTTTTAAAAAACAAATGTGAAGAATATAAAGTAGTAAGTTGTAGCTAATCTATATAAAATTAAATATGTTGTTTTGTACAAAAGACATAGATGTGTAGGGTATGTTAACCTCTCTGTTTTAAGTTTTCATAGCTATAAAATGGGGGAAATAGTATCTAATAGTATCTAACTTACAAGGTTATAGTGAGGATGGAATTAATTAATTTTTATAAATCACTTAGGAAAGCCTGTCACTTAGTAAATGCTCAATAGTTGGCTATTATAATATTTATATATGATAATATTTATGATCATTATTAGCATTTAAAATTGTTACTGATTTTTTTCAGATTTTAGTGATATATTTTAACAACAACAATTTCAAAATAATGAGATTTCGTAGAGAAAAGACTATTGCTGGTTTCTAAGCAAAACGTATTTGAGAAAGGTATATAGATCCACTCTGAGTATCTTGAATTCTTGTGCTGTTACTATATTTAAATATAAAATCTTCAGAATGAAATTGGACATTTTCTAAACTGTTATGCTGGAATTGAAAATAATTTTTAAAGATTGTGGGAGCAATTAAATATTGTTATTTCTTCCTTGGCCGAGAGTCATGTCTTGCTCAGTAGTGGTTTACTTTGTACGTTGTTATACCACTTGTTTATTGTAGGAATAAATGATTGTCTAGTGCCTGTGAAACTAAGTACCAGTGGCCAGGATGTCATTGTTATGTGCTGTCGAGTCAGACCCAACTCATAGTGACCCCTCCTTGGGTTGCCGAGGCAGTATCACTACGGAAGTAGATTGCCCCATCTTCCTTCCAAGGAGTGGCTGGTGGGTTTGAACCGCCAGCCTTCTGGTTAGCAGTCAAGTACCTTAGGCATTATGTGATAGTATTTGTTATCCTCTTTGCTCCTCATTTGCATCCCCAAGAAAATTCACAAAAAAGAAAACCACTAAATCCAATTTACTAAATTTTGCAAGTAATCAACGTTTAGAAAAACAAGACTTTCCCTTCTAAATAGTTCATTGTTCAGGCATTGCGATACTTTCACTCTCGAATTAGAAATTGATTTGCTTCTAATAAGAACTTTAGAAATGTCTGTTTTAGAAGAACTTGGAAGTCTTGATGGGTATAATTCAGCTGTCTGTTCTTTGGGTCTCCTCTTTTATTCTGTTCTAGTCATTTATGTTCTGATTAGTGTTTACCTGGATAGTTGAAATAATCTGATAGATCTTACTTTTAGTCTTTTCCTATTTCTACCTAAACCTGTATATCCGGTTATCACCACAATTTTCTTAAAGGGTAACTATGATAGAGTCACTATTCTGTTCAGAACACTTCTGTGTGATTTATTGCTGCAGTAGGAACAAATTCCTTCATTAGTTGTTTTCTAAATTCTTTGGTTTTAAAAATCCTCCCAGCCGTTGGGGCTTTATGACTAATACCGATTCCTGTTCTGTTTCCTCAGGACATATAATGGCAGAGTCAAATGCCTTTGCTTTTCTTATCTCACACAATAGAACGTGATCTTATTAAGGGCAATGGTTATGCTCTATCATTTATATTTGTTTTATAGTTTACTATAATATGTAAAACAGATTTGATCGTAAAATTTGCCACCATTCCTCATAAATGGTGATTCTGCTTAATATTGCCTATGTTTTCAAAACAAGTCAAGGTTGAACTTAAGCCAGAATTAACTTCTACCATTGTGCTAATTTTCAGGTATTTTTGTTTTTAAGTTTCTTAGTGACTTTCAGCCTTTATGGAGAAGAAGAGAAGGCAAATCTTGAAAACGAAGATATCTTGAGGGCCCTTTAATTCATATATGAAGTTATTGCCAAAGCAAACTTGCTTTACAGTTGGTCGTGACAAGTTAGGTCAGGAGGGAATATGTGCTCACCTTCTCTCCCTTATCCAGCCTTTCAGCTCCTGCGACTCTTCTCTAACTTCTGCAGGATGCTGGAAAAAAATAAAATTTAACTTAATTAAAAGAATTATAGATCTCTTATCAATAAAAAGTAACTTGCTAAAAAAAAGTTTTATAGCACCTAACTGCTGTTTATCTTTTTTTCTTTTTCCTGCAGAAAACCATAGGCAAAATTGCAACATGCTTGGAATTACGAAGTGCAGCTTTACAGGTAAATAGGGTCCCCCCACCTCCTTTTCTTAATAAAAGGAAAAGAAATTATTCTGAATGAGTCTGATAAAATATTACACATACATGCCAAAAGTATCATCTCAGAATAGTTTTATAACAATAGGAATTCATCAGTTAAACAAATACTTCTAGTATTTAATTAACATTTTATGAACAGTGAAAACAAAACATAAGATTTCAATTTTTTTCTGGTACTTTTAGCCTGAATATTTTCAAGACTATGAAACAAACCAAAACTAATTTGTGACTTTTCATTTTAAATCTTGAAAGCAGGAAATAGATTCTTTTTTGGGGGGAGGGGGCTACTTTTTGAATATTTGGTTCTCGCTACTTAAAAGACATAAGAGTGTTTATAGATAATGGAAGTGTGGTGAAATCTTTGTATAAAAAAATATAATTTGCTTATTTTAAATTTAGTCCACACAGTCCCAAGAAGAATTTAAACTGGAGGATCTGAAGAAGCTAGAACCAAGTAAGTTTTGTGTTTTAGAGATAGTTCTTAGAAAAATATTTAATCTAGACAGTAGGTCATTTAGCATGTTTTAATATTTGATTTATTTTTGTTAATGTCTAGTCCTATGTGGTTTTTTGTGCTTTTATAATTTCTATAAAATTGTTGAATTTCACTTTCATGATGTTGTTGTTGTTATGTGCTGTTGAGTCGGACCCGACTCATAGCGACCCCTCCTTGGATTTCCGAGGCAGTATCACTACAGAGTTGATTGCCCCATCTTTCTTCCAAGGAGTGGTTGGTGGGTTTGAACTGCCAGCCTTGTGGTTAGCAGTCAAGTGCCTAGGCACTGTGTTACCAGAGAATACGGAAAATTATTTGATGTACATTTGTACACCTCATCTAAGAATGTATTAACATTTATTTTGTTTTAATCACATTAATAAGACTATATTTACTATGGCAAGCATTTATAGTAGAGTGTCCTGGATAATCTTGTTACAGCAATTGATGCCTGTTTACTCTGTATTTCATTGAAAACTACAATCTAGCTGTTTGAGCTGCTCTATAAAATATTTCTTTGTTGTCTTCCTTTACCTTCCCTTCTTTAAAACTTTTTGGAAGTAAACAATTCCTTTAAATGTTTTGGTGGTTAGAATGCTGCCAGATGAAGCTTTTTTGATGGTGAAATGAATATACTCTTAGGGGAAATGTGTGCAGTGTGGGCAAAGGCAAAATAATTAAATGAATGTAAGGCAATATTCTCTTCTTTCATTGATTCAAGACTGAATATCTTAACACTTTCATGTAAATTAAGAACAGGAGATTTTACTTACCTGCCTTTTAAGTCATATTTCCAAGTAGGCATCATAATATCATAGTATTTTAGAACATAAGAGTCTTAAGAGCTATTTAGTCAAATTCTCTTACTTATACTTGAGGAAAGAGATTAAATAATTTGTCCCATTTCACTCAAACCCTTATTAGCAAAGCAGGACCCAACTCTCTGATCAGTCTAGTGCTCTTTTCACACTAGTATGATTGCTCAGTGTTTCAGTGACTCAGATAAGAGACACAAGATTAAATTTATCTCCTAAGAACTAAAGGCAGTGTTGATACAGATTGCATAAACTTGCAATTTCTAATTATTTTACAGCAGACCTGACAAAGACAGCTATATATTACTTGAGGTAATTGCATTGTGATTGTAATTGCAGCTCCAGTACAAGAAAAGAATTCTCATAGTCTATATTAAAGAAGGTCTAAATTCTATTGTTTGGGCTGGTAGAGGGAAGTAACAGAAAAATAGTAATACATAGCAGATTTGTTGTGACTCTAGTGGTTTTTCTACAGTTGTGATATTTTTGAACACTATCCTTTTGAAGACGGCAAGAATTATGAGGAACCATGTTACTTTTTTATTTTTTTATTGTGATTTGGGTGAAAATTTACAGAGCAAGTTCACTTTCCATACAGCAGTTGACATACACTTTGTCTCATGACATTGACTACAATTTTCCACAATGCAACAGCTCCCCTCCCACTTCCTCCCGATAGTTACCTCTTCCCTGTGTTCATCCCTCCATGCACTCCTGCCCCCTAAGCTGTCTCCCTGTACACACACAGCCCTTCTTTCTCCCATGATTGTTCTCTCCAAGGAGTGTATCTACCTCAGGTAAATTTCAACTCATACGCCTGTCTTGTTTGGCTGGGTGCCACAGGTGTGGGTTGGTGCAATTCCAGACCTGAAGGGCAGCTAGGGGCCATAGTCTCAGTGGTTCTACCAGGCTCTATTGGACCAGCAAACCTGGTCCCCCCCCTTTTTTTTTCCCAAATGATTTTGAGTTTTGTTTCACATTGTTCTCCCTCTCTATCCAGGTCTCCTACATAGATCCCCCTCCAAGTGGTTGACAGTGGTAGCTGGGCACCATCTAGTTCTTCCGGTCTCATAGTTGTATAGGCTGCGGATTTCATGGTATACCAGTCACTAGGGCTAATTGTTTCCATGAATCTTTGATTTTCTCCATTCTTCTTTGCTCTGGACAAGGAGAGACCCATTGTTGCATCTAGATGGCTGCTTGTAAGCTTTTAAGATCCCAGTCGCTGCTTGCCAAAGTAGGCAGTGGAACAATCAATGTTTTGTGTAGTATGTTACACCAGTTGAGCTTGATGTCCTCTGTGACTATGGTCCTGAGACCACAGATTCAACCACTCGCTCCCTCTGGGTAGCTGGCTGTGACCAAGAAGTGATTACAACCTTGTCCCTTGTCAGCTTTACTATACACCTGGGAATTCAGATCATGCAAATATACTTACAGGACCATTGTCTGCCAACCGTATACAGGAACCATGTTATTTTAATAATATGGCTACCTTATGTAATCAAAATCTTTTTTTTTTTTTTTTTTGTTACATGAAATGTAATTTTGTACTCGGAAATAATAGTTCTTACCTAGGTCCATGGTATATAGGAATATCAATGAAAATACAAAATTTCTCACAAATTTTTAACTAATTTCTTATGCCTGTAAATTTATGACTTCTTTACCATTAACAAATATTTTATATAAGAATATTTTTTGTAACAGCTTTATTAAGCTGTAATTCACATACCGTATAAGTCACCTATTTAAATTATACCAATTCAGTGGTTTTTAGTATATTCCCAGAATTGTACAACTAACCACAATCAATTTTAGAACATTTTCATTACCTCAAAAAGAAACACTACATCCATTCTCCATTCCCCTCTAATTCCCCAATTCCTAGATCTAGGCAACCATGAATCAGCTTTCTACATCTGTAAGTTTGCCTGTCCTAGACATTTCATATACATGGAATTATACAATATGTGGTCTTATGTGACTGGCTATATACTAGATGACATCACCCAGCTGTCAGTTTGTCATACTGTGGTGGCTTATGTGTTGCTGTGATACTGAAAATTATATCACTGGTGTTTCAAATACCAGCAGGGTCACCCATGGTGGCAGGTTTCAGTAGAGTTTCCAGACTAAGATAGGCTGGGAAGAAAGGCGTGGTGATCTTCTGCTGAAAATTAGCCAGTGAAAACTTTGTGGCCCACAACAGAAAATTGCCTGCAGTAGTGTTGGAAAATGAGCCCATTAGGTTGCAAGGTACTCAAATACGTAATGGCCACAACAATGAGTTCAGACATACCAATAATTATAAAGATGGCATGGGACTGGGCAGTATTTCATTCTGTTGTACATGGAGTCACCACTAATGGGAGCTGACTTGATGGCAAGTAACAACAGCAACATATGTAAGATTATTTTAAGAAAGACTCATTGGCTTTAAATAAGAATATTATAACCACAGTCAGGATGTCTGTTATATAATTGTTCTAAAGAATAGTATAGTGTTAACTTTTTCTAAATGATAAGAATAATAGGATTTTGGCTATCCTTAGTTAGTCACTATTTCCATTAGTCTTTTTTATTTGTTTCTAAGCAAAATTGAAGATTATTAAAGATAGAGGTAGGATGACTATAAAAATTGTAAATCACTTATCCGTAGATATTTTTTATCTCTTTTTATAAAAACTCACTGCCATTGAGTTGTTTCCCGCTCACAGGCCGCTCCCCCTTTGGGTTTCCAAAGAAGTATCTCTATGGAAGTAGATTGCCCCATAAAACATGCTCAAATATTTCTGTTACCTCCCAGGATCTTTTATTGATAATAATGGTTATAGTTTTTAAGAATAACAGCTATATGCTAGGCATTTGGTTAAATCATCTCAGTTATATTTTGCTAAAGACGACACTGACATTTGCCTGTGAACTCACAATTTGGAAATGCCAGAAATGGCTCTCAGCCGTGGTCTGCAGGACCCCAAAGCCTGTGTTCTTTCCACAGGTTATTAAGACCTGTAATGGTGCAATGCTGACATCATTCCTAGATAACATAGTTCTTAAGTCCAGGCTTCTGTGAAATTATTGACCCAGATGTTAGTAGAAGATTGGATTAAAATCTGCATTGATTTTCTGTTCCTCTTTTGTTTTTTTTTAAAGATTTGGAGCAGGGATGGAAAGGAAAGATACTTTTATTGGGATTCATTTTTATATATTTTGAATTTATATAATGATTTTCATTTTTACTTTGCTCTTCTCGGTGCTTAGGTGACACAAACTGTTAAGTGCTTGACTACTAGCTGAGAGGTTGGTGGTTTGAACCTACCACAGGCACTTCAGAAGACAGGCTTGACAATCTGCTTCTGAAAGGTCACAGTCTGAAAAACCCTGTAGAGCAGTTTTACTCTGTGTACATGGGGTCATCATGAGTTGGAATCAACTTGATGTTTTCAGTGATATTTAATATTGCTTTGTAAAGAAAAGTAAAAGTGTATACTGTAACTTAGTAGGATGTGTTCTGTAATTTTGATTTTATCAACGCTAGGTACTTCGTATAAAATTTAATTATTTTAGCAGAATTCAACATTTTCTACAAGTTGATCTTTGATTATAATGCAGATCAAGTACTTTTAGTTGAACTGGCCTCTGCCTTTTCAAATACTATGTTGTTGTTTGTTTTTTTGTGCCTTTGAGTTGGACCCGACTCACAGCAACCCCTCCTTGGGTTTCCAAGGCGGTATCACTATGGAAGTAGATTGCCCAACCTCCCTTCTGAGGAGTGGCTGGTGGATTTGAACCACCAGTTTTCTGGGAAAATTAATGAATGACTGTAACTTTTAGTATGTTGGACTTAGTTGATTTATTTTGTCTAATGTATTATTCCCCCAAAGATTCTTAAATGTTAACTCTTGATAATCTATTTGGAATTCATGCTAAAACTAAGATCTTGAAAGTACCAATCGTTTAATTTTCTTATGTTAATCTTTGGAAATATACTAGTTCTTACTCAAACATATCTCCCCCTCCCCATCCTGTAAAATCCCCTTCTACTGACTCATCCTTCAAGGCTCCAAGAAATCCTACCTTTTCTAGAAAGCTTTCTCTGCTCTCCCTAGTCATAATTAAACTGCTTCCTCTTCTTTATAG